TACCAACGGCCGGCCACCTGCAGCTAGACCTTGACTGGGCACCTCCGTCGGTCAGATCACTCTGGCTCACACTTCCACTCCAAGCGCGCTTGGGTCTGTTTGCAATGGTAAACCACATCACATTGCTAACCACATCGAAACGCATTTCTCCAAAACGCGCCCTTCCAGCCTAAACTCGCTGGAGCGCCGATGATAAACTCTCGGTGGGTTTCATGCATCCCAAAAAGTCCACCACGCCACCACGCCCCCAGCTTGCTTCGAGGCCCCCTTTTCTAAGCGGAATCTTGGGTTCTCCAAGCTCGGGCAACCGTCTGCTGAATGTCGGCACTGGGCGCCTTCGGCGGGCCGCCATGCCATCGGCGCCCATCGCGAATTCGCCGGCGAGGGAAGACGCATCGGCCACTGGCCAAGGTGCGAGGGCACGTTCCCCCTGACGTCAATGTCGCCCATGGCACCGTTGAAATGTTCTAAGTTGCCCTTTCACCGTCCTGATTGCCTTTCTCGTTCGCCGTGAGTTCGGGCATCTCCTACTGGCCTATCTTCCACTCCGAGTGCGGACCGATGCCATTTCCGAGTCAACATCGGCTCCAAGTTAGCTCTGTGTCCCGACACTGCATGACGATAGCTGGGTGTCCTGCCTTGCGTTTCGCCATATCCTCTCTTCCCGTCTATCCGCATGCAATGGACTGTCATCGCCAAATTGCCAGGCCCGGGCACGTTTCTCTCCTCCTGCGGGCTCTCTTCCCGGCATCTCCTCCGGCGCGGCGGGAGCGCCAGCTTCGGCGGGGCAAGTGAGTTCGACGTTGTAAACCAACTTGCAAGTCACATGGTTTCAGAGCACACGATCCATCCAGGCGCCCCAGCCTCGGCGACGCAGGCGTCTTCCACGTCGCATAGCTCACTGCCCACATACTCGCCCCCTCCGCCTACTTCCGAACCCAGGATGACCAGATCTCGGCCGGAGCTCACGGGCTCGCTCGGACTCCGTGGAACAGGTCCGCCATGAGAATTGCCTGCCTGGGAAATCTCGCGCATCTCCCACCGTCAACGACTTCGACTTCCCCCGCCCCCCCCCCCCCCCCCTACCTGCAACGCCTTGTGAGACTTGCATGGCGAACTGGAGATCACACTTTTCATCGAGAAACAACGCCCTCTGCCCCGTCGCCCCATGTCCGAGGTAGCTGCAGGGGCGCCCATCAGCGCCCCGCTCTAACACCACACGATTCCCTGCCACTACCATTTCGCGCGCAGACCTGAAAGCTCCTTTAACGCCGGCTACCCAGATGCGCACTCTCACCGTAGAACCCCTTCTCGATCGCACCCGCAATAACTCGTTGCCCGCGGTTCCAAATTACAAACCAACTGGCAGCGACGCAGCAGCGCTTGCCGCTCCAGGAGACCCCAAGCGTCGGCGGGGAAATGGGCCCCCGCGTTCGGGAGCCCAACCGCGACGTGGGCCCCTGAGCCCACGGTGACAACGATGGTCTCCGCGCCGCCCCCCGGGTCCCCCACCGGTACGTCAGTCATTTCCTCGTCGGGCCTCTCCATCTCCACCAGCTGCAATTCGGCGCATGTGTGATACAACTGCCCCCCCTTTGAATCGCACCGTGACGCGGTTGCCCCAGTTGGCGCCACGGAGGCAACGAACGCCGCGCTCCTGCGACGCGCACTTCCCCGCAAAGCTTAACTGCGCCCCCCTACGTGACCACTTTCTTGCCCGGCGCTGCAACCTGCTCTCCTGCGCCCCACTGCCCGGGCCTGGCGCTGCGACGCGGCGGGCAACTCCACCCGCGCCCATGGACTCGCCCATCACGACGTTGTGGCACCCCTGTCCAAGAAGGGGCCAGCCCCAACATCTGCGCGGCCCCCCCCCGTCGCAGCGCGCTGCCCCGGGAGCGCCCACCCGGAGCGACCGCGCGGGCGCTCCCGGGGCAGCGCGCTGCGACGCGAGCCTTGCCCTCTCACTGATCGACGCAAGCCCTGCCTCGCCCCCCCCTTTCCACCCTGGGGCTCGGCCACCTTGGAAACTTCCTGAAGGGGCCCCCTTTGCAACTTCCTCTGTCGCAAACCCTTGGGCAACCATCGGCGCCATGGCGCCCTCCTTTTGCGACCTCCTGCCCGCGCCCCCCGGCAAACGCCGGCACTTTTGCGCCCCCCCTTTTTTCGAGCGACTTGCCCCATATTGATTCCTCTCGCGGCGCAGTCTTCGGCGCTGCGGAACGCGCCCATGCCCGCCACACGCGCAACGCGTGGGCCCTTAAACCTTACTTGTTCCTTTGCTAACTCCGTTTGCGCTGCCGCCCCCACTCGCGCCCCCCCCATGCCAGCTCCATCAGCTTCAACCTTCGCAGCAGTAACCAGGCTCGTTCGCGTTTGTGCCTGATTCCCCAGTGTCTTCATCGCTGATTTGGCAGATCTCCATGGAATGATGTTTTGTCGAGTCGGCGCCACAGCTTTTCCCCCTGGCCCAATCCTCACATTTGATGAAAATTTCCGGGCAAGGGTCAAAAGTTCACGAGCACGGCGCCTTGAACCAGTCCTGCTGCCAGTCGCCAAACATATCACCTGCGCGGGCAACGACGGGCCTCAAAGCAGCAACCCTGCAAGGCAAAGGCAACGAAAGAAACCATGCACTCCACTGCTCAAGCTGGGTCGCCACGTCGCTCACATTCTTGGGTTTTTTGCTCCTGGATTCAAGGCCAGCTTCATCCTGTAACGGCCGAGTACGACTTGCATAATTTCTGGCAAGGCATTACGCCGTTTTCCTCGTGCAAACCCTTGAGCGTTTTCACGTGCATCCGCCACTTCCAACTTGTCATTGTGCAAATTCCAAAGGTCCTCGTCCAACTTTGCGTAGCCGTGTTGATCGACTTCGTTATATCATGTAGCGTACCTATTATTTGGATAGTGGCGTTTTGGTTGTTTATTGCCAAATTAACCTCTCGCTCCTGAGATTTATCAAGTCGCGCTTTTCGTGATCGGGTAGCCCATGACTTCACATTTGTCGTTCAAACATTGCAGATATTCCGAGACGCGCGCTTCACTTTGGCAAGCGCACTCAACAACTTCTCGCTTCACTCCCTGAGTTCGGTCTGGTCACCCGGGGGCAATTTTAACAGCGAGCCCAGGGCATTCGCTAACTGGTTTGCTTCCACATCCTCCAGCCATCGTGCTTCCAGCGACCCGTATAGGTTCGGCGAGATTGGTAACATGTGCCGAGGCGGTCGCTTGACGTAGTTATATACTGACGTGTTCCTTCAAGGTGTTCAACTGTTTTTCGCAGTACATGCTGCTATTGATGGCCGAAATCAGACGAGTATCCAAACTGTAACTTATCTGAAACCTGGTGGGTACATCACCGTCGCCAACCGTCCAGGTACCAAGCGTGGCGCTGCGCTCGAAGAGTAACTTCATCCCTTCGCGGTAGAGGGCGGTGGTAACATACCTGAAGCCTACGTTCTCAGACCCGGCGTTGCACATCTCGGCGAATCGCCTGTGCCTCGATTGCACCAGGCTTCACGTACTTCACACAACGGTAACTACATTGTAACCCAAGTCGTTGTCGCTGGGGTCCACCAGGGTCGCCGCAGCGCCCGCCGCTGCCATCTCTGCTCTGGAACCCGTGGGGCGAAGCACGGGTTCCGAAAACATGACAATCTGCGTTTTTTTTTTCTGAGAAGGGACGATGGCACTTGAGCCAAATGCCAGCGGCAACGCTAACAACTGACTGCGAAACGTGCGATCGTGCTCATCACCGAATCGCGTGGCCATGTTCTCACACCTCCTCTTCATCCTCTGCTCCTCCTCCTCTTCACCATCCTTCTCATACTCCCGCGCATGCGCCCTCTTCGCGCGCGCCTTCGAGCGCGCGCAAACACAAGCGAGGGAGGAGCGGCATCGGTGCGCGTTCCTCCCCCGCAGACCCCCGACGTCGTGACATCCCATGCCTGCTCCATGGCGCTCGAGCACGGGATCAACTGCAGAACCGATTTACCCCAAGATTAACGATGCCCCGTCGATATGCGGAGCTTTTGATTCGCGGGTCGAGAGCGCACCTCTTCCGGTCGAAGCTAAGCGGGCCGCGCGAAGCTTGAATTAACCTGAGATGGGGGAGGAAAAGGGGGGCGCAGCCTCAGAACGAGATCGATATGCTGAGCACTCTGCGTATTCTTCACTCGAGGCGTCGGCCTCCTGGCGCCCTCGACCCCGTCCCTGCCTCTGGGCTGCCCCCTCGCCCCGGGGCCGCGCCCGTGGACGGCCCCGGGGCCCCGAAGCGGCCCCCGCCGAGGCCGAAGACCGAGGACCGAGCGCCCTCGGTGGCTCCTGCAAACGCCCAGCGCAGATGAGGAGGGGGGGAGGAGGAGGAGGAGGAGGAGGAGGAGGAGAGGAGGACGAGGAGGAGCAGGAGGAGAAAGAGGAGGAGGAGGCGTCGGCCTCCTGGCGCCCTCGACCCCTTCCCTGCCTCTGGGCTGCCCCCTCGCCCCGGGGCCGCGCCCGTGGATGGCCCCCCGGGGCCCCGAAGACGGCCCCCCCGCCGAGGCCGCAGACCGAGGACCACGCGCCCCTGGTGGCGGCGCGGTCCGCGGTGGCACGAGAGGCCCGCGGGAGGACCGGCCACCACCACCACCCTCGGGAGGGAGGAGGGGGAGGAGGGCGAGGAGGAGGAGGAGGAGGGAGAGGGAGGAGGAGAGGAGGAGGAGGAGGAGGAGGGAGGAGGAGGAGGACGAGGAGGAGGAGGAGGAGGAGGAGGAGGAGGAGGAGGAGGGGAGAAGGAAGGACGACACCACCACCACCACCAGAGGGAAAAGCCAGGCAGGGCCCCCCCCCCTGGTGGCGTGGCCCTCCCCGTCCCCAATTTGGCAGTCCCCGCTGGAGACAGCTCCAAGATCTCCAGCTCGGGGGGGCATCGCAGGCCTCCTCGCTGGAGGTGACCCGCTGGTGTTGATGGTGGGGAGGGAGGCTGCTCCGAAGGACCTCTTGGGAGAACCTCTTGCGCGCCGGCCTGGGCGTCTTTTCTTCCTTCGCTGGCTACGCCGCCACGGAGGTCGGCGGCAAGCGCCGACCGCCCGCCGGCCGCTCACGCGCGCCAGGGCGAAAAGCAAGCGAGTTGGGGACCGTCCCTGCGGAGGCGGGCTTCGAATTCCGAGCCGCGGCCACGACGCGGGAGGCACGGCCGTCCCCTGGCACTCAGGACCTTGGACACGGTCGCGGAGAACATCTCACGAGCTTCGAACCTATTCACAGCCACGCCATCGCGGCTTGCATTCCGGGGCGCGATCCACCGGATACGCGGTCGCACAGATCAGTTCCGCGCGGGACACCCGCGAACAGAAACGTTCCGCATCCGCGGGGTCGCGGCCCAGAGGCCCGGCCCGCGAGGCCGCGGTCTCTCTCTCTCTCTCTCTCTCTCATTATCTCTCTCTCTCTTTTTCTCTTGCTCTCTCTCTCTCTCTCTGTCTCTCTTCGTGCCGTTCGCTCCCCGCCTTCTCTGTCTCGGCTCTTTAGGGAAGGCTTAATCTAGATGTAACGTTTCCCTGCCAGTGGCGAGCAGTCCGCGAAGACAGGGGGGTGTCCACGAGAAGGGCTCAATCTGGAGCCAACCCTCCTCAGGGTGAATCCCTTCGACGCTCGGCGTCCACAAGAAAGGTTTACTTTGGAGTCAACCCTCCTCATGGTGAAGGTCTTGACGCTCGCCGAACGGAGGGTTAAATCCAGGTTTTACCTTCCTGAAATCTTGATGTCCCCCTCTTCCTCGCTGCCCCCCCTCTTGCGCCCCCCCTTCCCTCGCGCCCAAGCCCTCGAGCCAACGGGACTTCCAGAGGCTCGCAGCAGTGCGGGCCGCCCCAACGGGGTCCGAGCAGGCGGGGTCGGAGGATCACGCCGCATCGGCGACGCATCCGCGACGTCGGCGTGGAGGAAATCGGGCTCCGCATCGAGCCGCATCGCCGATGCATCGGCGGTGAGGCGCGATCCTACGACTCCGTCTACAGCCAGGGTGGATTGGAGAGGACACGCGAGAGGACACAAGACCCTTCTGGTGGCCACATTGCCAGTGGAACCTGGAGGGCATGGGTCGCGAAACACAGGACACGAGGGTACCCTTGTTTGGGCAGGGTCGACCTACTACTCCAGATTTCGTAATAAAAGGGAGGGGGTCTGGACCCTCCAAGACAAGTCGTTTCAGACCTCCCCCGTGGGAGAACCCTCCAGAACATCGTCCCCAGACCCCCCAGGCCCTCCAAGATAGCCTGGAAGAGACCCCCCCCGAAAGATGTGACCCCCCTCCCTTTATTACGAAATCTGGAGTACCCTTATTTGGGCAGGGTCGACCTGCGAATCAAACTCGACTCTACTTCGACCCCCTTCGGGCGGCCTGGCGCGAGGCAGGGCGCCGCGGAATGTGCCCCTGCGGCAGGCTCGCGACCCGTGCCGACGTCGGCCTTGGCTCCTCCGACGCCGCGCGGCAGGGCCAGGCTCGCTCGCCGCCGGGCGCCTCGGGGCTGCTGGCGGCGCCCGGCCTCGAGCACACCCACGCCGGGGACTCCGCCGCGTCGCTGCGGCAGGGGCCTGCCGCGCAGCGACCCTGTGGGAAAAAACACACACGTGGGAAAAAAAGCACACACAGTCTGTGGGAAAAAGCACACACACACAGACTGTCGGAAAAAAACACCAAACAAAAACAAAAACACACAAAAAACACAACACAAAACAAAACACACGCACACACACACAGTCGGAAAAAAACACACAGTCTGTGTGTGTGTTTATTTCCACAGTCTCTGTGTGTGTGTTCTTCCCACTGTGTGTGTTTTTTCCCACAGGCTCGAGGAGGGGCCGAAAGCCCTGGCCTGGCTCCGAGGGCCGCAGCACCGGGGCCCAAGGCCCAGCATCGGCCCTGGGGCGAGACCGGTGCGGGCGCACAGCAACCTCACGTCGTGCCGACGTCTCGGCGGCGACGATAGGGGCGAATAGCCCAGGGGCGGGCATCACACGTGTTCGTCCGGGAGCCTTTTCGAAAGCATAAATCATCGGCGCACCTGAATACATGTATTGCTCTGCCATGGCCAATTCGCCCCTATCGTCGCCTCTGAACGTCAACGCTGGTGCCAGACTCCGCGTGGATCGTGAGCGACCGCAGCAGACGGACCACGCAGATCGCCGGAGATGTCAGCCGACGCCGCGCCGCTGGCGGCACTCAACCCTGAACGCCCGCGGCGGGGTCGCCGCCGCGTCGACGCGGCACGAAGCTGCCGAGAGGGGCAGGAGCCACAGGGCATCACGCCTACTCTCGCTGCGAGGGCGCCCACGCGCACGCTGAAGGGGCCCTAGGACACACAAATAAATACACACAAATAAAAAGATTCCCCATATGTTCTCATGTTTTCTGGGTTTTGTCTTCCCGCCCACTTCCCATAGTTTCCCATATCTTCCTGGGAGTCGACGATTCATTGTGTCTGTGTGCTTCTTTCCCTCCTGACACGAGGACGAAGACGAGGACGAGGACGAGGACGAGGAGGAGGAGGAGGAGGAGGAGGCCAGCACGCCTGCTCTCGCTGCGAGGGCGCCCACGCGCACGCGGCCCACGCCGCCTCAGGGCACCCCGGCGAGGTCCCGGCGCAGCAGGGCCAGGTGCTCCCGGAAGAGGCCCTCGCCGTGCGCCTCCTCCGAGAGGCCTCCTAGATGGGGTCGGAGCAGATGGGGTCGGAGGATCGCGCCGCAGCGCCGATGCATCGGCGATGCATCGGCGATGTGTGGGCGATGCATCGGCGATGCACTGGCGATGCATCGCCGACGTGGGCGATGCATCGGCGGCGTCGACGTGAAGCAGATCGGGCTCCACATCGAGCCGCATCGCAGATGCATCGCCGATGCGGCGCGATCCACCGACCCCATCTACTCGGACCCCATCTGGGAGGCCTAGATCCTCCGACAGGCAGTGGCACGCCCGCCCCGAGGCCGCCTGCACTCCGCCGAAGGCCTCCGCCACGCAGGACACGTTGCCAGAAGCGCGGTGCATCTTCGACCACTGGTCCGCGGCGCCGAACCGGACGAAGCCCGTGCACGCGCCCGCCTGTCGGCGACTCCGAAGGGTGTGGTTTGCAGAGAGTGTGGTTTGCAACCGGCACCTTGAGAGGCACCCTGGGGAGCGGGCGAGGACCTCGACAGAGCTCTCCGCCGCGCCCCGAGGAGGCCCGACGAGGACAGTGTCGCCCCCGCCAGGCCCCGACGGTGCCGATCGCAAACCACACCCCGGCGTAACCATACCCTTTGTAGTCGCCGAGCCTGGCCCTCGGAAGCGACCTGGCGCCAGGCCGGGGCGGCGGTGGCGGCGGAGGACCTCGCGTAGGCGGCCTCCACGAGGACCTTGGCGTGGTTGAGCCAGTAGCCCGCAGACGCGGAGACGCTCGCGGGCAGGGAGCCGTCGCTCCACAGGCCCTTCAGGGCGTTGATCGTGTAGCTCTGGATGTTCCACTCCCGGTGCTCCGTGTCCTCGATCCCATCCCCGATGAGGCTGTCGACGACGAGACGGAAGTACTCGTCCAGGCTCAGGTAGTCCGAGTAGTCGACGAGGAGCCGCTCCTGCTCCAGCACCTGGAGCACCCTGTCCGCGGTCAGCATGTTGCTGATCACGTACGACTGTATCGCACAGATCTTCTCGCCCAGGTCGACGCTGCGGAGGTAGCCGTACTGCGGGTCCCCCCACACAAAGTAAGGCAAGCTGCTGCCTGGAGGGGTGAGCCCCATTCTGTCGGGCCGCACGAGCTGGGCAAGCATGTCGATCGCCTTCTTCTGCTGAGACAACGCCACTGGCCTTCGGCTTCCTCCCAGTGGGGGGGAGCCGTCCATCGCCCGGTGGGCGTACATGTTACTGATGCCGCCGATCCAGTCAAGCAGAATGGACGCGACGCTCATGGCACCCGACAGCACCGCCGTGGCGGCGTTGCCGTAGTACAGGGTGGAGCCGCCAGGCTGCACGGCCATCTGCAGCATCACCTTCTGGGCCTCCGCGTACGTCTTGAGCTGGTGGTCCATGTACCTGAGAGGGTCGCCGGTGAAATCGTAGGCCATGCAGGCGGGGTCCTCGTAGCCCTCGTCGTTGTCGTAGCACGTGTCGTACTTCGAGCCCTCCTCCAGGATGCTCACCAGCTCCTGCGCCAGCATCGGCCACGGCAGCTCCTCCACAACCTGGCGGCGCGCAGAAGGGGGTACGGGGAGGGGGGAAGGCTTCTGAGAAGGAGGCTGCTTCTAAGAAGTCGCTGGCCTTACATTCATAGATAAGGCCCGCGCCTTCTGAGAAGCAGGGGTCTTCCCCCTCCCCCAGAACCCCCCTCTGCGCGTGGCCGAACAACCTTGTAGCCGTACTGGATGGCCAACTTGTCGTAGCCCCCGATGACCGGCGTGAACGCGTGGATCTTCGCCTGACCCTCCTGCGGGATGTTCATGGGCACGTAGTCCATCACGGAGGCCGTCGTGCCGTGCACCGAGGAGCACGCGTAGTCAAAGACGCACTCGTAGCTTACGCCCATGCTCCCCTTGAAGTTGTGCCGCAGCCCCAGGATGTGGCCAACCTCGTGCATGACCACGTCCTTGACGCCCTGCCCGAGGAGGTCTTCCTGCTCCTCGAGCGTCATCCCCCGCTTGGCCCCGATGGACAGCATCGAGAAGCCCTCGGCGCGGGCCCCCTTCTTGGGCGTCTGCTCCTCTCGCACCGAGGCGTGCGCGGCGCGCAGAATCTGCCGCTGGCTCTGGCGGCTGCTGCCGCTGCCCCTCTCCCAGGCCTCACCGTCCAGCCCCGACGTCACTGCAGCCGCCGCCCTGTGTGGGCACGATGGGGAAGGGGGGCCCTGGGTCCACGCGGGAAGTCCTCCTCCGCCTCCTCCTCCTCTCCTCCTCCTCCTCCCCCTCCTCCTCCCCCTCCGCCCCTGGGGCCTTCCCTGGGGCCGCCTCTTCACCCCGAGCCGCACCCCGGCGGGAGGCCGGGGAGACGGCGAGGAACCAGCCCAGGGCCCGTGGCTTCCCCCGGGGCCCCCGTTTCTTCGTGGTGGCCTCTGGGCGTGGATCTGGTGGGTCATGTTGATGGCATAGTGGTCCAGCTCCTGGGGTAACGTTTGTCATCACCGTCCCGTGAAGAATGAAGCGCCATGCACACAGACCAGCAGGCACACCTGCCGAAGCACTGCGCGCTGCCAAGGACGCTCCCTCGAACTCGAGGGCATCCCAAAATGTGCAAAGAGGCACGCAGCGAATCCGACCGAGCCCCTGCGATCACCCCAGCCAAAACAATCACACATGGAGCAACGCTGCAGCCCGTGCTAGAAGGACGCCGCGCACGGTGCGCGAGGCTGGCAAGAGTCTCTGCTCCTGGAGCCAGTACTGCACCCAGCCGTCGGACATCATGATGTCGCTCTTGATGATCTCGCCGCTCCGCGAGTCCACCTGTCCGCGCAAGTGGGGCGAGGGGGCGGGCAGTGACGGCGAATGGCCCCTCCGCCTCGCACCCTTCAACGCCCTCCTCCTCCTCCTCCTCCTCCTCCTCCTCCTCCTCCTCCTCCTCCTCCTCCTCCTCCTCCTCCTCCTCCTCCTCCTCCTCCTCCTCCTCCTCCTCCTCCTCCTCCTCCTCCTCCTCCTCCTCCTCCTCCTCCTCCTCCTCCCCCCCCACACCTCCCCACTCCTCCTCCCCACTCGTCATCCCCATTCCTCATCCCTCCTGTGCTTCGTCACTCTCCGCATTATCCCCCTTTCCCATCCTCCTCCCCTGCCTAATCCTCCTCTTCTTCCTCCTTTCTTGCGTTGGCCAGACCTTCTGTGTGTACGAACACGTGGCGTTCTTGCGACTGCAGGGAAACAACTCGGCGCAGAAAAAAACCTGGGCGGGCGCCGCGGAAAAATGAGCCAAAAAAAGAAGGGAAATGACAAGAAAAGAGAGTAGGCACCCGCCAGGTCCTCGAGGTCACCAAACACCTTTATACTTACGGCTACAATTGATCATTTGAGATAAAGGCCCGTAAGATGAGCCGGTGTTGCCGTCTCGGTAAGCAAGGTCCCAGCCAGCATGTACCTTGGAGTGCAATAGCATAATGAACACATAACCGAAACTACGAATAGCATCAGATGAGGCACATGCTGCTGGACAAAAAAGCAAGTGATGAAAAAGTACAGAACGACGACGGCACTGTGCAGTTCTAGGGTTGCTACCCAGGGTCTTGGTGAACCCCAAACCGTAGATGAATATCCTCCTCCCCAGCCGCCCTCACATCCTCCCAGCTGCCCACCACCCGCCTCCCGAGGGTTGAAGATCGGTACTTCTTCTCTTGTGTTCCTTATCCTCTGTCGTCTTTTGGGCTTGAAGCACGCCTGCTCCTGGGGGTGGCCATCACCGTGGCCATCCCAACCCTGTCATAGATTGCTTTACCAACGCCCGTGATTGCATCATCGACCCACTGCGCTCATCCTGAGCTCACATACTCAGTCCACTCCACACCACTTTCTGGTTTGCCCTTTCCCGCTTCTCCATTGTACTATATGTTCAGCATGCTCAACCCTCGCGCTTTCATTCACAGCCAGCTGTGTAGGTACGTGGTTCGCTGGGTTCGAGTTCAAGCACGAGTAGTGGAGTAAGGGCAATCGAACATAGCATCATAAGTTGTGCTTGTTCAGCGCCAGGCGGGTTATGGCAGGGTTGCGGGCTGGTAAAGCATACTGCGCTGAAAAAACTTACGGCCTAAATAGGTAGAAGCTTCACCCTGGCATCAAGAGGTGATCGCGGTAACTTAGCTCGCGGGGGGAGGAGCCACGAGGAGACGATCCTAGTGAGCTCCCCCCCGGCCCAAGAATCCCACCAGCCCTCTGGGCGTCGGTGTTTTAGGAGTTTCCTCTTCCACCCCACCTTCTTCCCCTTCGAGGAGGGGGTTACCCCTCCCCCTACCCCCTCCCCTGGACCTGGACAAGGGGTGTCGCGAGGTGTCAGGGCGTCTAAGACGGCCTCGGCGAGGAAGCCAAAATCCGCCGGCCCCCTTGCGGGGCCACCAGGCTGTAGGCGCGGGTTCGCAGTTTCCTGTACCAGTTGTAGCTTGTAGTTTGAAATGTTACAGTTATGCTTCTTGCTGGTTACTGTAACTAGTTGATTGACCGCGCGAGGGGGGGGGAGGCCCAAACGGGACTTTTTAGCACCCCCTGGGCGCGTTGTCTGAATTGCTGGGGGGGCTCGAAATCGACACCCCTCACGCAGATCCGCGGGGTCAGGGTCCAAAAACACATGGGATTTGCCACATTTCTGAAATTCGGTGCCACCCCTCACGCAGATCCGCGGGGTCAGGGTCCAAAAACACATGGGATTTGCCACATTTCTGAAATTCGGTGCCACCCCTCACGCAGATCCGCGGGGTCAGGGTCCAAAAACACAGGGGATTTGCCACATTTCTGAATTCCAGTGCCACCCCTCACGCAGATCCGCGGGGTCAGGGTCCAAAAACACATGGGATTTGCCACATTTCTGAATTCGGTGCCACCCCTCACGCAGATCCGCGGGGTCAGGGTCCAAAAACACAGGAGATTTGCCACATTTCTAAAATCCAGTGCCACCCCTCACGCAGATCCGCGGGGTCAGGGTACAAAAACACAAGGGATTTGCAACATTTCTGAGATTCGATGCCACCCCTCACGCAGATCCGCGGGGTCAGGGTCCAAAAACACAGGGGATTTGCCACATTTCTGAAATTCGGCGCCACCCCTTACGCAGATCCGCGGGGTCAGGGTCCAAAAACACAAGGGATTCGGCACATTTCTGAAATCCGGTGCCACCCTTCACGCACATCCATCGCAAGGCGTGGTAACCCAAACTGCGAGAACTCCCTCGGCCCTTTAATCGCAAGGTGTGGTAACCAAGCCCGTAAACTACACACGCTTTACCAATCGCCAGGTGTGGTAACCCCTCTTGTGATCAGTTGGTTTTGCTGATTGCGAATCGACTTCGCATGAAGTTCCGATACTGCTTCACGACAGCGCCAAGGCCTCATGACTTAGCTCTCCCATGGCCCATTCTCCGAGAGAGGGGGCCGGCGGCAGGGGGCGAAGCCCTTACGGATCATTGGTTTTACCAAGGTTTTGGCCCCACGTTGGCCTCCTGAGGGGGGGGACCCTAATTAAAGTTCCCCCCTTGTTGGATCGATCTCCTCTAAGATGGCCCCAAAAAGCGCCCAGGAAGCCCCAAGAGTCCCCAAGATGGCCCCATGATGGCCCCCAAGAGACCTCCAAGAGGCCCCCAAGAGGACCCCAAGCGGCCCCCCGAGGCCTCCCCGAGGCACCCAGGACGCCCAAGAATCCCTCACGACGGCCCTCTACTCGCCTGGGCGTCGTTTCTGGATGGGCTGGTGGGGATATTTTTTGATGGACGGCTCCAAGGAAAAGTCCAGGAAACGGGGCGGGCGCGGCTGGGGCACAGGGCGAGATAATTGGTTACGACGGCGCATAGGCCGACGCAACAGGTGCACTTGCAAGAGGCAAAATGCCCCTTCATTACGATGCGCGCGACCCAGGAGCGGGGACGCAAGCACCAGACAGAAGTAGACGGAGGAGAAGTCGCACAGTGGCGCCAGCTCGAACCGTACTATCCAGCGAGCACTGGCTAGAGCCAAGGTGCCCAGTGGCAGCCCAGTGGGCCCGTGAGGCCGCACCGTCAAACACGACGAGGAGGAGAGAGAGCAAGGACAAGCGGGGGGGGCGAGGAAAAGGGAAAGGCGGCGGAGGCGAGAGCACGCGCGGGCAGAAGAGGGGAAGCCGAGGAACGCCTCACTCACTTGGAATCCTGGGCGCGATCAGGCATGATCAACCGACCAATGCACGGAGACGTCGACCCAGTCGCGGAGTCCGAAACCTGTGACTGCCTGACCCAGCAACGGGGGGGCGCGGCAGCAGGCATGGCCGAGCGCCATGGACCACCCTGCAGGAGGGCTGGAGCACTGCCAAAGGATGAACCATTTGTGCAGTACCAAGCACGAAGGTGGCTCCCGCCGAGAGAGGTGGACCAAGTCATCGGCGAACAACGCAGGCAGATTAACCATCGCGATGGACGGGGGAACCAAGCGGCGAGCGTCGACCGGGGGCAGGGGCGGACTAGAAGGGGGAACGTCGGCAGTCGAGCAAAGGGTGTACCACTTGTCGTGTCCGCACACTCCCCAGGTCCGGCCCCCAGTGGTGCCGGGGCTGGCAGCAGGCCCGAATTGTCCGAAACAACACCTGGCAGCAGCGCGGCCCGACCGCACCTCGGAGCTCCGCCAGGGAGCCTCCAGGTGGCAAGTGAGCCCGAGTGCTCCAGTGGAGCCTCGGTCGGGGGGAAATCGTGTGACGCCGAATCCACAGGAGGAGGAGGGGGAGAGCAGGAGACGCAGCCGATAGCCGCACAATCCAGTGAATAAATGGAGGAGGAAGAGGAACGGCGACGGCAATGCTTATACTGCGAGACCTTGGCCACTGTGATCTCTCCACCACGCGATGTGGGACGGCGACCGTGGGGGGAACAGGGCGCCTGACCACTGCCGGGGAACGCTGTCCCTGCTCCAGGGCATCATCGTCGGGGGGAAGCACGTGAGGTGCAGAGCGAAAGAGAAGGAAGAGGCGGCACCTCTGACGATGCTGTGTGGTCGGAGTCACCTGTGTGATCCCTCCACCGCTCCCTGTGGAGGGTCTTCAGTGACCACGGGGCGAACAACACCGGTCGAAGTCACTTCTGTGGTCCCTTCACCGCTTCCTGTGGAGGGCCGTCAATGACCACAGGGGGGGGAACGACAGTCCAAAGTCGGAAGCACCACTGCGGTTCCTCCACCGATCCCAGTGGAGGGTCTTCAGCGACCGCGGGGGGGAACCACACGCCAGACCACTGGCGGAGGACAGTGCTGACACTTCGTGGTGCCCTGGATCCCCACTCCACAGGCCTCTGCCTTCCTGGTTAATGCACGTACGCCCCAGACAACCAGAGAAACCACGCACCGAGAAGGCAGCCAGCGAGCCGAAGCGGCGGCCTCGGCGACACGCAAGGGGGCGAACGGGCAGCGCGTCGCCCAGCCCCGGGGGGCGGGAGGCCAGGAGAAACACAGGACGCAGGCGCCCGTCTGGGGGAAACGCAAAGCGAAAAGAAACCAGTGTTTATGTGCTAGTCTATTGCGACCGCACCAGGGGGACCTGTCAATCCGTCACCCACACAGCGCGTTTCCTCCGACGTACTCGCGATGTGCGTATATTCCGTTCTGGGGGGGCCTGTCGTTCGTCTCCCACACAGCGTGTTTCCTCCAATGGAGAAGCACGGCACGTCCGACAACAGCCCGTCAGAACCAAGAGGGGGGAAGCCTGAGACACCCAATCGCGCTGCAGAGTACGGTGTGCAACTCGTAGTCAACAGAGAGGGTGGATCACAGAGCAGAAAACCGAACTGTCCACGGTATAGCCACACGCGCAGCACGCAGACAGAGGAGAAATGAACTGAGGCCGACGGTATAGCCACACACGCAGCACGTAGACAACAGCCAAGAAAAGGACGTAGAAATTCTGACAGAAGCAGGTGTCGAGACACTACCACGGTAGCAACTCGCAGGGGTGTCACGAGGGGGTAGCAAGGCTACTGTGGGGAGACGGCCCACCACTGTCAGCAGTGCTTCCTGGGGGCCTGTTTGCTCGGGTGGCCCTTTACCGCATGGTGACCACTGTTCACACCGCCGTTCGGACCCAGGCGCCGCTGCCAGGCCCGAGTCCAGTCGACGTCGAAGCCCAGCGCATCGCTGAGGACCCGTACGTCGCCTTGGTGGGGATACGCTTTTTGATTGGCGGCTCCAACGAAGAGTCCAAGAAGCGGGGCAAGCACGTCTGGGGCACAGGCGAGATAATTGGTTACGAAGGCGCCTAGGCCGACGCAACAAGTGCACCTGCAAGAGGCAAAATGCCCCCCATTACGATGCAAGCGACCCGAGAGAAGGACGCACGCACCAGACTGGAGTAGACGGAGAGAAGACGCACAGTGGCGCCAGCTCAAACCGTGCAGTCCAGAGAGCGCAGGCTAGGGCCAAAAAGCCCAGTGGCAGGACAGTGGGCGCGTGGGGCCGCACCGCTCACCACTAGGAGGCAAGAAGGCGGGGAAGGCGCGGGCAGAAGAAGGGTGGCTGGGGAAGCCTCACTCACTTGAACTCATGGGCGCGAGTCGCCGTGAGCCATTGACCAATGCACTGACGTCGATGCAGCCGCGGAGTCCGAAATCCTGGCGGGGATATTTTTTTGATCTGCGGCTCCAAGGACGATTCCAGAGAGCAGGTCGTATCGAGCATGGGGCAGCACGCAAGATAATTGCCAGCGGGCCAACAGCCAACGCCGGAGTGCAAGTTGCGAAGGCTCGCAGCGGCACATGCACAGAACAAAATGAATTAAATCCAGGGAGACGCATCTTGCGTCGAGAATGCGAGGAGTCGCCGAGACGGCGCCAGCTCAACACGACAAAATACTCATGGGCCGGTACAAAGCGAAACCCGACCAGCCCCAATACGGGTCGTCGTCTGCAGGGAGACGCATCTTAGCGTCGAGAATGAGAGGAGTCGCCGAGACGGCGCCAGCAAAACACGACGAGGGGGGGGAGAGAGAGGGCGGCGACGAGGGGAGGGGGGGGAGGAAACCAGGCCTCATTCACAGAACACCTCACGTGTTCGAGTCTCACTCACGGAGCGCACGAAGCGGGTTCCACTGAAAGGGAGCGCACGGAGCGCACGCACCTGGTGGGGATACGCGAAGCGTCTAGAATTTCCGCGCCAGCCCCCGTTACATCGGGAAACAAGAGCTGAGTTGGCGGCGCGACGAGCCAGAATTGAATCTCCAACCACGATTTCGCACGCGTCAATTCAATTTAGAGGGTGGGCGAGCAGATAGTCGATTGCGCTTCGTATACGTATCATGACGCGGAGGCCGCGAATGACAATGTCTGAATACCCAACGGTGTAGTGATGGTTTGGCAGATCTTGGTAGCTCTGATGCCACAGTCTAAGCACCAGTGTCTCCAGTGCTGAATGCTGGTTGGTTGTGTGAGGATGTGGTGGAAGCGCTATTTCAAGGCAGTGCTGAGTATGACTGCTATCGAAAGTTTGCCTTGCTGAGATGTGGCGGGTGGCCTCCTTCTCATCGACCTCCTCTTCATCCACCTCCTTCTCCTCCTCCTCCCACAAATCCATACTCCAGCCCCCGAAACCCTCCTCCTCCATAGCCTCCTCCTCGTCGCCCCTCGCTCACTGTCCCGCTCCCCCCCACTCCCGCTCCTTCTCCCCGTCTTCCCGTCATTCTTCTCATGGTCCTCCTTCCTCCTCCTCATCCTCCTCCTCCTCCTCCTCCTCCTCCTCCTCCCTCCTCCTCCGCCTCCTCCTCCTCCTCCTCCTCCTCCTCCTCCTCCTCCTCCTCCTCCTCCTCCTCCTCCTCCTCCTCCGCCCGCCGCCGCCGCCTCCGCCTCCGCCTCCGCCTCCTCTCCTCCTCCTCCTCCTCCTCCTCCTCCTCCTCCTCCTCCTCCTCCTCCTCCTCCTCCTCCTCCTCCTCCTCATCTTCCTCCCACCCTGGTCTCGAGGCCCTGAGGCGGCGGGGAAAGGGACACGGCCGCCCGTCGGCTGCGAGTCTTGACACTGAATCTCTTTGGACCACCGGCCGAGCTCCCCGCTCGGACACCACGGGCTGATCGGCTTGTTCAAGCGGATCTCCACAGATGTTTCCAGGAAGCAGTGTCTAAGTCCTGAGCTTCTCGTGTCCCCCTCGCTCTTCCTTCATTCATCCACCTCTCCCTCTCTATCTTTGTTGCTTCTGCGTGCAGAAGTATGCATGTGGGAGGTCGGTGAGTGGAGAGAGCAGTGGGAGGTGCTGGGGGGGATCCTGTCGGCATCGCGTTGCCCTGTCAGCCTTCGCGTTGCACTGCCAGCCTCTGCGTTACACACTCCCCCATCCATCGGGGTTTCTCGCGGGATGATGCATATGCAGGTAGGCGTGGGCTTGCCCCGCTGACCGATCCCCTGCTGGAGCCTGACGATTCCGTCCGGGCCACAGGCATGATCGGACGAGGTGCACTTAACTGAGTTGCCGCCCAGGCAGCTCGCTTGCATTCTCTGGCTGACCGCATTAAGTTCAAGCCACTTTGGCACACAAGCTCGGCTTGGCTCAAGGCCGAGAAGGGGGACCAGTTCGTGAACATAGCGTTCTGGGCATGGCGGTCGGGAGGGTCAGCGATATGCACTTGCCTCCCTGCATGTTGCGTAGCCTTTCTTCGTATGCTCCTGTGGTGAACGGTATCTCCGCCCGATTGCCGTGCTCTACGGAAACTTCTCGGCCTCTCCACCCGTGGAGAAAGGATGAGGAGATAGCGGATGTTCAGTACGGCAGGTTCGCGTCGTGCCGACTTCGGCGTTGGTTGCTGACACCGCGGGGATCGTTCAACCTTGAACGATCGGCCGTTTCCGAAGCGTCCAGATCGCTCCACATCGAGCGATTCCGGGTCGCCCGCGGCGTGCAACGCTGAACGCCGCTGGCGGGGTCGCCGCCGGTCGACACGACACGAACCGACCGTTAGAGGGGGTGTCCGGGGCGCCTTCCTTGGGCCTCTCCACGCGTCGCGTGCTTCCGTGCGGGTGGCTCTGGCCGTCGCCCCGTGCCGCGCTCCCGGGTGGCCCCTCCGCCCGTCCGCCGCGGTCCTAGGGCAATTTCGAGGCCGCTCCGACGGCCAGCAGGAGGAGGAGGAGGAGGAGGAGGAGGAGGAGGAGGAGGAGGGAGGTACACAAGAGAGATAGCAGCAGCAGCAGCAGCAGCAGCAGCAGCAGCAGCAGAATGTGTACGGGCCCCCCCGCTCTCCTCGAGGCGAGGACTTCAGGAGTCCTCGAGCAGAGCATCCACTGCCTTGCTCAGATTGTTTGACAGTTTGCTGCTTTTCTGTGCGTGGGTGGAGGCTCGGGTACATAGGGGGGTCGGGGGCCGCCCCGCCGCTGATGTGGCAAAAACCATATCCCACGCCTCTTGGGAGACCTCTGGTGCGGAAGGGGGTGCGAAAGCTGGCCCCCGGGCTCCCCCCAGGGGGGTCCCGGGTTGCCTTTGTTCGTGTCCCCTCCCGCGCGCGGGGTGTCCCAGGAGGTGTAGGGTGTGATTTTTGTTTCATGCGCGGCGTCTTGCAAAAGGCTTCACTTCTTCGGCTCCCGCCCTGTGCCCACATCTTTTCCCACACGCACACACACACACACACAGCCCGCTCCACGCAGTGGCGTAGTGCACACCCCCGGCAATGATGCCCTAGGGCATTGTTTCGCGGACATCCGAGTTCCGAGTTCCGAGAATTCCCTCCCTGGTCCTCCTCCTCCTCCTCCTCCTCCTCCTCCTCCTCCTTCTCCTCCTCCCCCCTCCTCCTCCCCCCTCCAACTCCCTGGGCAGCGGCCTTGGCGATGCCCATGCTCACGATGTAGTCCGACATGACCCAGCTGATCGTGTTGAAGCGCGCGTCGGCGATGTCGCCCGACGGCCCCGCGCGGGGGCAGGCGAGGAGGAATGGCAGGAGAGGGCGAGGGGACGAGGGCAAGCTCCTGCTCCTGCTCCTGCTCTCCTGCTCCTCCTGCTCCTCCTGCATCTCCCCCCGTCATCCTTTTTTCTCGTGGTCGTCCTTCTCGTCCTCCTCTCCTTCGTCCTCCTGCTCCTTCTCTTGCTTTTCCTCACCTCTCGCCCCCCTCCCCTGCCGCCCTTCTCGTCTTGCCCCCCCCCCGTCCTCGCCTGCCTCCCCCCCCGCCCTTCGCCCCGCGTGTCTCTTCCCCTGGCCCTCGCCGTTCTCGCCGTCCTCCTCCTCCTCCTCCTCCTCCTCCTCCTCCTCCTCCCTCCTCCTCCTCCTCCTCCTTCCTCCTCCTCCTCCTCCTCCTCCTCCTCCTCCTCCTCCTCCCTCCCTCCTCCTCCTCTTCCTCCGCCTCCGCCTCCGCCTCGCCTCCTCCCTCCTCCTCCTCCTCGTCCTCGTCCTCCACCTCCCTCTCCTCCTCCTCCTCCTCATCCTCCTCCTCCTCCCTCCTCCTCCTCCTCCTCCTCCTCCTCCTCCCTCCTCCTCCTCCTCCTCCTCCTCCTCCTCCTCCTCCTCCTCCTCCTCCTCCTCCTCCTCCTCCTCCTCCTCCTCCTCCTCCTCCTCCTCCTCCTCCTCCTCCTCCTCCTCCTCCTCCCCCTAGCTGTCCTGCATGGGCCTCCTCTTCTTCCTCGTCGTGGTTTTCCTCTTCACCCCTGCGGGCCTCCCAGGGCCCTTCGGGCCCGGGCTCTGGCGCGAGCCCGAGCGGATAGTCCTCGGGCCACTCGTCACTGCCCGGCAGGATGCCCCTCGCCCGGCGGGCTCGGAGAAGGGTGGGAGAAGGAGGGGGCGAGGAGGAGGGAGGGACGACGGCCGATGGGGGGAGGTGGAGGGATGGAGAGATGGAGGGATCGGGGCGAGGAGGAGAAGAAGGCGGAGGAGGGAAGAAGGAGGAGGAGAGGAGGATAAGGAGGGGAAGGAGACGGAGAAGGAGAAGGACGGGGACAGCGAGAGGGAGAGGGATAAGGAGAAAGAGTTGTAGAGAAGGTCGGAAGATCAGCGGGGGAAAAGAGCTTCAAAGCAGGAGGAGGAAGAGAGGAGGAGAGAACGAGGAGGCAGAAGCAGGAAGAGGCGAAGAGGAGAAGCAGGAAAAGAAGTTGCCCCAGAGGAGAAAGGATATGTAAAAGGAGAAGGACGCGTCCGAGTTCCAAACCAAAAAAAAACATACTCATCAAGCATTTCACAAGCGAGTGCAGCTCAAATGAAAGTTCCAGGTAACGGTTCCATGGCACGCCCTCCCGCAAGCATGCACCCCCAAACACGGTGGCGGATTCGCAAAGTAGCACAACTAGATAGAAAGTGCATTCACAAGTCAGAATGCAACGCAACTTGATATCAACTGACTTCGAACTTGAATTACCCCCTGCGTTTCTACGTGTATTGCCAAGCCAACGTGTATGAGTTTGCTAGCGCATCCAGACTACATTGCAAGTCTTATGAAGTAAGCGCGCCTGCTCGCACGCATGATACAGCGACGCGTTCCCGAACGTACATACATACTGACGAAGAGACTACCCGTCTACTGAAAGCTAGAACATCCAGTCGAAATGACAACAAAAAGAACGGCACGGCTACTTGCGCGTGCGCGTATGGTGGCGCTTATAGCGGTCATCGTACATATGTGTCTGCACGTGTTCTTGCACACTGAAGCTTATTGCTCTACCAACCCCAAAGGCGTGTACGGAATCCTTCTGCACAATCTACCCAGAATTCCGACGTCCAGAACCTTTGTTCTTGGAGCCATCGCCCTGGCACCTCCGCCGCCTGGGGGCCCTGTCCTTGGCGCCTCCCATCCGAAAATCTCTGGCCCGCAACCCATCCCGACCCCCGCCCTGATCTCCACCACGCCCGACACCCCCAGCCTCCTGCAGCCTCTGGAGGTATAGGTGGATACAAGGCCCCCCCAGCCCGACTACTCTTGGCCGAGAGCCCACCCCGACACCCACTACGCCCGACACCCCCATCCTCCTGCAGCCATGGGCCTAGGTTCTCATAAGGCCCCCCACCCGACAATTCCTCGTTCCCCGCCCCGCCCTGCAACCTCTGGGTCTACGTTGCCCCCCACCCGACCACTCTTGGCCCGGAACCCACCCCGACCCCCGCCCCGCGCGACACCCCCAGCTTCCTGCAGCCGCTGGGCCAAGGTTCTCCAGGCCCCCCACCCAACAACTCCTAGCCCGAATCCCACCGCGACCGCCCCGCCCCGCCCGACACCACCAACCTCCCGCAGCCTCTAGCTCAGGTTCGCAGGGCCCCCCCGCTGGACAACTCCTGCCCCAGCGCCCACCCCGCCCGCCACCCCCAGCCTCATGCAGCCTCTGGCTCCAGGTTCCCAGAAGGATTTGTTTTTGTCCGGCGCGCGCTGACCGAGCGTCCATAGCGCCGAGGCACCGTGCCCGGGACAGGCCGCCTGCACCGATTTAGGGGGGGAGGGGAGGGCCCCCACGACCCCAGCCAGCTGTGCGCAGCAGCGGGATGGTGGGGGGCGTTGCCTCCGTGAACGTCATCGGCAACGCTCACCTCAGACCAAGAGGTGTGCCACTGACCACTCTGTACACCCTAGCGGAGCGGGTGGGCCCAGGCAGCACGGCTTGCCCACCGTGGCGAGTACTCTGACAACTCCCCGGCCTGACGGCACAGGTTCCCTTAGAAGGCCCCCACGCCCGACACTCCCCAGGGAGGGCGCCTCCGCAGGGCCTCCCCCTCGGAGGTGCGCCTCGGCCGCCGCTCCGCGCGCCGCGCCCCGAGGCCCTGCCGCCCCCGCCCGTCGGGGGGGGGGGAGCCTCACGGCGCCCGGCCAGCCCGCGAGCTCGAAGCCGGCGTTCCACGCCTCGATGGCCTCCTGCGTGGGGCGGCTGGGCGGCGGAGCAGGGGGTCGGCGCGGGCGGGGGGGGTCGGAGGGTCGCCGGCGCATCACCGGTGCGTCGGGGAGGCTGCTCGACGCGGAGCCCGATGTTCTCCGCGCCGACGGCGCCGACGCATCGCCGATGCGGCGCGGTCCTCCGACTCCACCTGCTCGGACCCCATCTGGGAGCCCTCTAGGAGCACGGATGGGGGTCGAATGTGCTGGGGCGTCGTTCGTACGCTGTGGGGCTCTGGAAGGCACCTCGTCGCCACTGTCGCATACCATTGATGAAATCCTGGCCTGGTCGCACCCCAGGATGGGTTCAGGGGTGAGTTTTGACAAAAGCGGACCCAGGCCTCGACTGCCTCCCGCGGGGCCCTCGTGACGCCGCCCAGAGGAAGTCGGAGCAGCTGGGGCCGGAGGACCACGGCGCATCGCCGATACATCGGCAATGAATTCATTGCCGATGTCACACAAGGGGCAATGAAGGGGCCCCGGGACACACAAATAGATACACACTCACACAAACAAATAACAGGATTTCCCATATTTCCCATATTTTCTGGGTGTTTGTTTCCCCCCCCACTTCCCAAATTTTCCCATATTCTCTGGGGAGTCGACGATGAATTGTCTGTGTGTTTTCCCCCCTCCTGAGATACACATCGGCAGTGCATCGGCGACACGTCGGCGGTGCATCGGCGGCGGCGGGGACTGGGGAAAGCTCGGGCCCCAGATCGCGCCGCACCTCGCGGAGGGGCACTGGCGAGGCACGGGCCCTTCCGGGAGTGCGTGCGCGGATCGCTCGCTGCAGCTTCGAGGAAGGAACGGCGACATGAACATGCACTTTTGCGAAGGATTGCAAAAAAACGAAGGATTGCAAAAAAACCCTTCGGCTTTTTGCAATCCTTCGTCGAGGTGGGTCCCGATTTCTTGGGTCTGCGCCGGACCCCACTCCCTGGCGCGCGGAGTGCGCCAGGGGCGGCGCTGGAGGCGCCGCCGGGGGGGGGGGCCCCCCGCCGACACAGGAGATCTGCGGGGAGCTCCAACAGTGTTTGTTCATGCAGTCCTTCTCAAACTCTTGCCAAAAGGGGAGCCCCGGACAGTGTGTTTCTGGCCGTATATACAGTGTGCAATCTAGGTGGAGCAATGCATGTGGTGCAGTATACGTGGTGCACTCTATGTCGTGCCATGCATGCTGTGCAGTTCATGTTGAACCATATATGTTGTACAACCTATGTGGTGAAATATGTGGTGCAAAATACGTGGTGCAGTGTATGGTGCGCAATCCACGTTGTGTCATCTATGTGGTGCAAAAGATATGCCATGTATGGTGCACCATACGCGGTGAAGTCTAAGTGGAGCAGTCAATATTTGACCGTCTTGAAGCTGTCCTCTCCACTGCTCGTGCAAACATCCCACCCTCCCACCCGCAACTTGGTCGCAAAACCTCTTAAAACACGACCGTGACGGTACGTACCACATGACACTTAGCCACGACACCGACGCCGACGACGACAGCGACAACGACGACGACGGCGCCGCCGACACCGACTACGACGACACCGACGACGTCTCCAACGACTTCGACGACGACAACGACGACGACGACACGACGACGACGACGACGTCAACGACGCCGACGCCGCCGACGACGACGACGACGACGACGACGGCGACGGCGACTACGACGACACCGACGACGTGTCCGACGACTTCGACGACGACAACGACGCCGACGCCGACGATGACGAAGACGACGACGACGTCGCCAACGAAGACGACGACGACAACGACGAGGGAGGAGGGAGGACGGCGACGACGCGAACGACGAAGAAGGAAGGACGGCGGCGCCGACGACGACAACGACGAGGGAGGAGGGAAGACGACGACGACAACGGTGACGACGACGACGGCGACGAAATAGGAGGGACGACGACGAGACGCCGACAACGGACGACGACGACGACGACGACGACGAGGGAGGAGGAGCAAGGACGACCACGGCAACAACGACGACGGAAACGACCACGACGCCAAAGAGGACGACGACGACGAACACGAGGAAAGACAGAGGACGACGTAGGCGACGACGACGACGACGACGCGGGAGGAGGGAGGACGGCGACGACGACGACGACGACGACGCAAGAGCGCGCGCGCACGCTTTTGTTGAAAATCCGTGTTGCGAAACCTCGGGTTTTTGTAGGTTTTTTGGACACACGATTTTGAAATCCTTCCGAAACCGATGGGTTTTGAAGGATTTCGGCATACGCGCGCGACGACGCGCGCGTCTGCACTTCGTCCCGATGTTTGCAGAGGATTCTCGCGACGGCACACGCGCAAGGGCGTTCGACAGATTTCGACATGCGCGCGCGAAGCCCGTTTAATAGCATGTTGTGAAAATCTTAAAAACCTATGGTTTTCTTAAGATTGCGCAAGTGCTCGCGCGGAAGTTTTTTCAGCGAATCAGTGTTGCGAAACCCTGTGTTTTTGTGTGTTTTTGGAAACTCGATAGCGAAATCCTTCCGGCACCGAAGGTTTTTGAAGGATTTCGGCATGCGCGCGCGACGACGCGCGCGTGTGCATTTCGTCACATGTTTTGCAAGGGATTCGTGAAAAAGTGTTATGCTAGACCAAAACATGTCACCGCATAGTGCTTTTTTACTACAAGGGAGCCTCAGGGGGGGGATACCGGCCCCCCTGGGACAGTGCAAATTCATATTTAGGATTGACACGTGGTCAGACTCATATATGATTTACATACCCGAAAGGGGGAGTGATAACGCCGGGGGGGGTAGATCCTATTCTGTTTTTAGAAAAGAGAATATATGTTGTACAATAGGTGTTGTGCAATATATGTGGTGCAACCTATGTGGTGCAATTTATGTTGTGCAATCTAGGCGGCGACGTGGCGGCGACGAGGCGGCTACGGCGTCACGTAGCCGCCAGACCGACCCGCAGGGCCAGACGACGAGCGGCGACGGGGTGGCGACGGTGAGCACGGAGCTCGAACACTGTTTGGGGAATGTTCGAAGATCACGCCGCATCGCTGACGCATCGGCGGCGCGGGCCCTTCCGGGGGCGCTGTTCCGCCATCACTCGCCGCAGCGGCCGTCACCTGCCACCGCCCCCACCCATCCCGGCGACGCAGAGCTCTTCGCTGGCGGGGCCCCGGGATTCTCGCAACATCAGCTGTTTTTATCCCTCTCGTCGCAGGGCGGGGTCCCGCTAGCCGTAGCATATCTTTGTGTCCACACCGCCTGCCCAAGCAGCCGTCCTCACTCTCAGTTTGGCAGTGCCCTGGTCTCACACAACCTTCTGAAACTGCCCCTCGGGCGTTGCTGCGTGGCGGGGGGGGGGCGATTGGCGGGGGGGGGGGGAACGTGCACCCTTCGTGCCCCTCTTGGGCCCCCTTGGGGCCTCTCTGGCACACGAAACGGTGCACGTTTCTCCCCCCCCCCCGTCCCATCGCCCCCCCGTTGCGCAACGCCTGGGATCCTCGCAGCCTCAGCTACTCTCAGGTCGGGCCTGCCGCCCTCCAGGCGGATTTTGGACGAAAATTCAAAAATCGCCAAAGCAAGATTCAAAGCAAATCAAAAAAGTACTCAAAACAAATAGACCCCAGACTAAATGTTTGGACTACTTTGGAAGATCCCCCCCTGTAGGGGGGACAGGCCTGGTTTGAAGCCGGCTTGAAGCTACTCCAAGGGCTCCCAACTTCGCGCGTCGAGCTGCGCGAAGCGCGAAGTGCGAATAACTTCGCGCCCTCGCGCCGCCTCCCAGGGGAGAAGAGGAGGCTGAGGAGGAGTCGGAGCCGAACCGCGAGGCGCGAAGCGCGAATAACTTCGCGCCCTCGAGGGCGCCCTTGCTATTCCAGGCCCCTCTCAAAAAAAATAGACCCCAGACTGAATGTTTGGACTACTTTGGAAGATCCCCCCCTGTAGGGGGGACAGGCCCGTCTTGAAGCTGCTCCAGGCCCCTCTCGGACCCGAGACTACATGTCTGGACTACCTTGGAAGAGGCCCCCCTGTAGAGGGACAGGCCCGGCGTGAAGCTGCTCCAGGGCCCTCCTCGGACCCCAGGCTGCATGTCTGGACTACCTTTGAAGAGGCCCCCCTGTAGGGGGGACAGGCCCGGCGTGAAGCTGCTCCAGGGCCCTCCTCGGACCCCAGACTGCATGTCTGGACTACCTTGGAAGAGGCCCCCCCGGTAGAGGGACAGGCCCGGCGTGAAGCTGCTCCAGGGCCCGGCCCCTCCTCTCGGAGATGGACAGACCCCCCTTTAGCACAACGTGGTTTAGTGAAAACGACCTGAGGCCCAAACCTGGCGGGCGCAAACCTGGAAAATGACGGCCACGGCGCCCTCTCGAGAACCGAAAACGGACAATTCACTAATCGACGTGTCACTGTTGGGGGTTCTGTCCACCCCCGAGCCTCGGGCAGCGAACGCGCGGCTCCCGAGCGCGAAAGGCCGCGGCGGGGCAGAGCGCCGCGAGTCGGGCACGTCCCCCCTACATGGCGAACGAACAACGTCCTCCTCCTCCTCCTCCTCCTTCTCCTCTCCTCCTCCTCCTCCCCTCTCCTCTCCTCCTCCTCCTCTCCTCCTCCTCCTCCCTCCTCCCTCCTCCTCCTCCTCCTCCTCCTCCTCGTCCTCCTCCTCCTCGTCCTCCTCCTCTTCCTCCTCCTCCTCTTCCTCCTCCTCCTCCTCCTCTTCCTCCCCCTAGCTGTCCTGCATGATCCTCCTTTTCTTCCTCGTCGTTGTCTTCCTCTTCCCCCCTTGACGAACGAACAACGCACACCCATACCCATTGGGGGGTCGTTGGGAGGAGGACTGGCTATGGGTATGGGTGCGGGTTGTCGGACCCTGGGGAACGCTCCCGCTCGAACGGGGACCCCCATCCGGCAACACGCACCCATAGCCCTCTCCGACCCCCCTATGGGTATGAGTGTGTGTTGTTGGTTCGTCACTACAGGCGGATTCTGCACGAAAAACTAGAAATACTCAAAAACACCTCCAAATTAGAAATATACTTAAAAAATACTTCCAAATAGTCAAACAAAAAACAAAACAAAAAAAATGCAAAAAATCGTCCCCAGACTGCTGTTTTGACTCTTTGGGAATATTCCTCCTGTAGAGGGGCAGGCCCGACTTAACGTTGGTTCCTGACACCGCGGGGATCGTTCGACCTTGGGACGATCGGCCGTTTCCGAAACATCCGATGATTCAGCATCGACCGATTCTGGGTCGCCGGCGGCGCTCAACGTTGAGCGCTGGCGGCGGGGCCTTCGCCGGTAGACACGACGCGAACCGACCGCAGAAGTTCGGAGGCCCGTGCGGACTCCTTGGCTCGGCACTGGACACCCCTGGCGGCGCCCTCGCGCGCGCGGGGAACTCGATGCCAGAGCTGACGGCGACGTCCTCCCGCGCGGCGGCGAGAGCCACGCGCGCCACGAGGGCGACGCGGCGCGCCGAGAGGCCTCCACCCCCCACGGATGCGCGCCTCCGCCCTCGAGGGCGGGCCAGTCGAAGGGGGCCCGTGGCTCGGCCCCCCTGTGAAGGGGCGCGATCGCCGGCGAAGCGTCGCGGCGCCGGGCCGACGGGAGCAGGCCGAAGGGGGAAGTCGCCCGGACCACGCGCGCGAACGCGCGACGCAGCCCAGGGGGGCTCGCCGCGCTGCCCCCAGTCCATGGCGGGGAGCCCGCACCCGTCCAGGATCGCGTGCCACAGACTATTCCAGGACGGCGGCAGCGGCTGCGGCTGCGTCGGCACTGGGCGATGTTGCTCCCCAGCCCGATCCCCTGGATGGCCCCTCGAGACAGAGGGTCAAGGTCCTCCCCCCCCCTTCAGGCGGCCGTAAGGGACGACGGCGCACATTGCGAGCAGCTCGTCGGGGCCCTCGACAGGGCGCACGCCGCCCGTCTCAAACAGGAGGCGGTAGCCCTGGAGGGCATGGTGGAGGCAGGGCAGGTAGGAACTCTCAGCCTCGTCGGGCCCGTCTGGCGCAAGCCAGCGGAGCCGCGACTTAGCACTCTGAAGCAGGTCGTCCCAGTCCGGCAACCAGCGGACGATCGTCAGATGATCGCCAACCACCTGCTGGCGCCGGCCCAGCGAACCTGCCGCGCCCAAGGGCGCGCGAGCGGCGTGAGCCTTGGCCGCAGGTGGCAGAAAGACTGGGGCCACGGGCGTGTCAACGCACTCTGGAGGGCGGCGCTGTTGGCGCGGGTGCAGGCGCGGGCGCACGCGTGCACCCCCAGGTGGCGTCGCCGGGCGGGCGCCCAAGCAGCCCCGCCGACGGCGCGACCCTCTCGCCCTGCAGGGCCGCAAGAGCACCACTGGCAAAGGGCATGCCAGCCTGATGGGGCGAGGCGGCCTGGAGCACCCGCAGGGAGTGCAGAGGCCCGGGAGCGAGAGCGCCCGCGGCGGGGGCGAGGGGACTGGCTCGCGCCGGGGACCTCGGCGAGAGCCGCGTTGGGAGCAGAGGTCCGCACGAGGCTGCCTACCTCCCTCACGCTTCGACCCGCGGCCCCCGGCGTCCGCGCGGCCTCTCGCCCCGCCAGCAGCGGCGCTCTGCGCACCACCGGGGGGCGGCACCCCACACAGCTGCTGACTCGCTCGCGGGCAGCGGCCGGCAACCCGCCCGACCCGGCGGGTCGCCCACGGGGCGCCGAGGGAGCTGCCGCTGCGCTTGCGCGCACGGCGGCGGCCAGCCCCAAGGGCGCGCCCCTACCTCGGCCAGCCAGCCCCGGAGCGCAGCTGGGGCCGGGTGGCCGAGGCGGCGGCCCAGCCGCAGCGCGAACGCGCAGGGCCACACCCGCGCAAGGGCCTCGGGCTTGGGCCGGATGGCCGCTAGCCCTGAGTTGCCCCGCCGCCGCTGGGGTCGGCCTGTCCGGAACACGACGCCCCAGCGGAGGAGGTGCCGAGATCCGCGAGAGAGGAAGAGGTTCGCCCACGAGCCGCTCGTAGAGCGCGGCTCGAAGACCTCACAATAGGAGCTCGCCCGCGCCCTCCATGGCCGCCCTCAGCGAGTGCCTGCATGAGGCGCCCGCCGAGGGAGGGCCGAGAGGACAGTTGGACCAAGATGCTGCAACGACCGCGGTGCGCAAACGAGGGGGAGAGTAAGAGAAATCAACAACAACAACAACAACAACAACAACAACAACAACAACAACAACAACAACAACAACAACAATTACTAGCACGTGGGGACACACCGTTCTCACCAGTGCCAGGGTTTTCATAGGAGGCGGGCAATACCCCCACTTTGTGGGGGGGCCGGTTCAAGCTCTACCAAATTTCCAAACGACTCTTCGCCACCACCCACACCCAGCTTCCCGCCCTATGACGTTCGGACACTTCACTTCGTGGCATGCGGACGACCGTGGCTACTATTCAGGGCCCCGCGGCCGACGACGACGGCGTGCGCGCGCGAAGAAAAAACGAATGTGTCCCGCATGGTATTATTTGACAGGGATGATGGCCCTGGCAGGTGCGCAACCGTTGTTGCAGAAGTTCGAAAAAGTTGCTCGCAAAAGCCCGTTTGACAGAAATGATTAAAAAGTGTTGGGTTTCCTACGAATCCGCAAGAGCGCGCGGGATGAAATTTTGACAATTTTTTTTGAAAAACCATTGGTTTTTTGATGTTTTTATGTTAAAATCGCTACGAAAACTAAGGTTTTGGAAGGATTTCGTCTTGCGCGCGCGAATGTCCACTTTACCTTATTTTTTGCAAGGGATTCTTGAAGTTTGGTTATGTTAGAACAAGAAATGTCCACTTTAGCTTATTTTTTGCAAGGGAAAACCGATCGTAACAACACAACCGGATCCGGACCAACCCGTTTTGCCTGAGACTTCCTCACGAAAATGATGAAAATGAGGCTGCGGCCTAGGCGCGGCGGGGGGGTCGTGCACCAGGGGTCCCAACAATAATTATTCTTTAGAAGTAATAATGTTCAACAACAACAACAACAACAACAACAACAACAACATCATCATCAGCATCATCATCATCATCATCATCATCATCATCATCATCATCATCATCAGCATTATCATCATCATCATCATCATCATCAGCATCATCAACATCATCAGCATCAGCAGCAGCAGCATCATCATATTCATCATCATCAGCAGCAGCAGCAGGATCAGCATCATCAGCATCATCATAATCAGCATAATCATCATCATCATCAGCAGCAGCATCATCAGAGTCGTCCTCATCACCAGCATCATCATGAGCATCAGCATCATCAGCATCATCAGCATCATCAGAAGCATCAGCATCAGCATCATCATCAGCATCGTCATCAGCATCAGCATCAGCATCATCAGCATCAGCATAATCAGCATCATCATCAGCATCATCAGCATTATCAGCATCATCAGCATCAGCATTACCATCATCATCTTCAACAACAGCATTACCATCATCATCAGCATCAGCATCATAATCAGCAGTAGTCGCATCATCAGCATCAGCGTCATCAGCAGCATCATCATCAGTATCATCGACGGCATCATGATAATCATGATCATCGTCATCATCATTATCATCATCATAATCAGAATCATCATCATTGTCATCATCACCAGCATCATCATCAGCGTCATCATCGTAATGGTCGTCACCGTCCACGTTGTCGTAATCGCCAGCATCAGCATCAGCATCAGCATCAGCATCATCATCAGCATCATCAGCAGCGTCAGCAGCATAAGACACATCAGCATCAGCATCATCAGCATCATCAGCAGCGTCAGCAGCATCAGACACATCAGCAGCATCATCAGCAGCAGCATAAACAACAACATCATCATCAGCGTCATCATCGAAACAGTCAACGTCGCCATCATCATCATCATCATCGTCATCGTCATCGTCATCGTCATCATCATCACTACTGGTAGCAGCATCATCGGCATCATCCTCACCGACCTCATCATGAGCATCAGCATCAGCATCATGGCATACCAATCATCACCAGTCTCATCATTATCATCCTCCTCATCATCAGCATCATCATCAGCATCATCAGCATCTCCTCCCCCTCCTCTTGATCATCAGCATCATCAGCATCATCAGCAGCATCATCAGCATCATCGTCATCAATGGCATCATCAGCAGCATGTCATGATTTTCATCGCCATCATCGTCAGCATCAGCATCTTATCATCATCAGCAGCAGCATCATCACAACAACCACTACCATTATCACAACAATCCTTCCCCTCCTCTAGCCCCTTGGTCCTTCTCCTCTATTTCCTCCTTCTCCTCCTCAGGCTCGTCCTGCTCTGCCTCCTATTCTCGCGTCTCCTCCTCCTCCTCCTCCTCCTCCTTCTCCTCCAGCTCCTCCTCCTCCCCGATCTCTCATCCTCATAAATAGCTCCTCCCTGTCGCACCCAAAGGCGGGTCGAAAAGGCGAGCAGGGAGTATCACCTGAGACGGCCTCACCATGTATGGTCCTGTAGCTTGAAATTTGCAACGGTTTCACGGATGGAGGGTGGCCCGCTTTCAAAATGTGGCTCTCGTCTTAGCGTCGCGCACATTCGATCTAAAGATTTACACGGGTTTCACGGATGCGGGGCGGCTCTTGTGCAACTTGTGGCTATCGCCTTTAGCGCCGCGCACGCTCGTGTGAAGAGTTTGCAAGAGTTTCACGGATGGATAGCGGTTCTTTTTCAAAATATGGATCCTGCCTTGGCGCCGCGCACATTCGTCGTAAGAGATTGCAGCAGTGTCAAGGACTCTCGTGGATATTGCCCCCCCCAAAAAAAAACTCTGGCACGATTTCGGAATGTCAGGGCGCAAAGGTCACGTTTCTTCGCGGTGTTGATGTTCCAGGAAATGTGGTCTGACACAATTCACGATCTCCAAAACGCAATCATAACAGTGATTCGCAGCGTTGAAATCCCACGAAAGGTGCTCTGGCACAGTTCCGGATTTTCAGTTGTTTTCCGACGGGGCATTCCCTCAGTGAAAATGAATCCTTGCAGGGGACTATGAAGAGGGAACTTGGAGGGAGGGGTTACTTCAATATCATTGATGAGTCTTGGGTTTACTCTGGTCCTCCTCCTCCTCATCATCAGCAAGATTATCATCATTATCATCATGAACATCATGATCATCATCTCCGCTTCCCAGCCAGCCTTGAAGTACGGCCTCCACCGCGCTGGCACGGAGGGATCCACGTAGATCCTCAGAGGAGTGATGGGATGGCAGGATCCTGCTCCTTCTTCATATGTTTACTCTGTCCTTCCTTCCTACATTCAGTGCAACTGTTATTCGTCATGCTAGTCCTCCTCCTCCTCCTCCGTCTCCTCCTCCTCCTCCTCCTCCGTCTCCGTCTCCTCCTCCTCCTCCTCCTCCTCCTCCTCCTCCTCCTCCTCCTCCTCCTCCTCCCACTCGCGCGGGGGGAGTTGAGGGAGGGGGAGGAATTTGCAGGAGGAGGAGGAGGGGGGAGGAGGAGGGAGGACAGGGAGGGCCCCCGTCTGCGAACCCCGAAACAAAGACCGCACCAGAGGCGATGCTTCATTCTCGGCGTCCCGATACCGTTCTCAAGAACCCCGGGCCCCGGGGACCCATGGGAACGACTGGGTAGTTGAAGGCTGCCGTGGGGGAAGGGGTAGACGTCCCGGCCCGCGCCTGCGGAGATTCGTCCACACCCACTTGGCTAGGAGACGAGTACTCCAGATTTCGTAATAAAAGGGAGGGGGTCTGGACCCTCCAAGACAAGCCGTTTCAGACCTCCCCCGTGGGAGAACCCTCCAAAACATCGTCCCCAGACCCCCCAGGCCCTCCAAGATAGCCTGGAAGAGACCCCACCCCGAAATGAGACCCCCCTCCCTTTATTACGAAATCTGGAGTACCCTGGCGGATCTCGCGGAGCGTCAGGCGTGGATGCTCCCCGCCCTCTGGGATGGACACGAGTAGGTCCGTATCCCCTGACATCCTTCGATCTGGTCGTGCGCGGCCCCTCATCGGCGGACTCCAAAGGGTGCGGATTGCAGAAGGTGTGGTTTGCAACCCGCACCCTCGGGGGGCTGGCGAGGGCCTTGACCGACTTCTCCGCCGCGCCCCGGCGAGGCCTGACGCGGGGAGCGTGGCGGCCCCGCAGGCCCGACGACGCAGATCGCAAGCCACACCCTGGCCTAACCGTAAGCATACCAGCTGTAGTCGCCGACCAGAAGGTCCCGACCTCTTCGGGGGCCAACTTTTCGCTCGCCCCCGATCCGTTTTCGATGGTCCCGAGGCCCGAGAACTAGAGAACTCCCAGACGGGGTCCGAGCAGTAGGGGTCGGAGTGTCGCGCCGCATCGCCAAAGCATCGCCGGTGCACCGGCGACGCATCGGCGGTGC